CTCATACACTCACTCTCACTCTCTCTCACACTCTCACTCACTCACACACTCACACACACACTCTCACACTCAGACACACACTCACACTCTCTCACACTTACACACACTCACATACACTCACACACTCACACACTCACTCACACACTCACACTCACACACTCACACACTCTCACACTCTCACACTCTCACACTCTCACACACTCTCACACACTCACTCACACACATACACACACACACTCACTATCTCTCACTCTCTCACTCACACACACTCACTCACACTCACTCTCACACTCTCACTCACACACTCTCACACTCTCTCTCTCACTATCACACACTCACACACACTCACACACACTCACACACACTCACACACACTAACACACACTCACACATACACACACTCACTCACTCTCACACTCTCACACACTCTCACACATACACACTCACTCACTCACACACTCACTCACTCTCACACTCTCACACACTCACTATCTCTCTCACTCACACTCTCTCTCACTCACCCGTCTGAGGTGCAGCTCTCTCAGCTTCTTGAGTCTCTCTCTCACTCACTCACACACTCTCACACACACACACACTCTCACACACTCACACACACTCTCTCACTCACTCTCACTCACACACTCAATCACTCACCCACTAACTCACTCACTCACCCACTCACTCACCTACTCACTCACTCACCCACTCACTCACTCACCTACTCACTCACTCACCTACTCACTCACACACACACTCACACTCACTCACACTCTCTCTCACTCTCTCTCTCACCCGTCTGAGGTGCAGCTCTCTCAGCTTCTTGAGTCTCTCTCTCACACTCACTCACTCACACACACACTATCACACACACTCTCACACACTCACTCACTCTCACACACACTCTCACACACTCTCACACTCTCTCACACACACTCTCTCACTCACACTCTCTCACACACTCTCACTCACTCACACTCTCTCACTATCACACACTCACTCACACACTCTCACACACACTATCACACTCTCACTCACTCACACTCTCTCTCACTCACACACTCACTCTCACTAACTCTCACACACTCACACACTCACTCACACACACACTCTCACACTCTCTCACACACACTCTCTCACTCACACTCTCTCACACACTCTCACTCACTCACACTCTCTCACTATCACACACTCACTCACACACTCTCACACACACTCACACACACACACACACACACTCACACACTCACACACTCACTCACACACTCACTCACTCACACACACACACTCTCACTCTCACTATCTCTCACTCTCTCACTCACACACACTCACACACTATCTCTCACTCTCACACACACTATCACACACACTATCACACTCTCACTATCTCTCTCACACTCTCTCTCTCACTCACTCACTCGTCTGAGGTGCAGCTCTCTCAGCTTCTTGAGTCTCTCTCTCTCACTCTCTCACACACACACACACTATCACACACACTCTCACACACACTCACACACACACTCACTCACTCTCACACACACTCTCACACTCACTCTCACACACACTCTCACACTCACTCTCACACACACTCTCACACTCTCTCACTCTCACTCACTCACACACACTCTCTCACTCACACTCTCTCACACACTCACTCTCACTCACCTACTCACTCACACTCTCTCACTCACCCGTCTGAGGTGCAGCTCTCTCAGCTTCTTGAGTCTCTCTCTCACTCTCACTCACTCTCTCACACACACACACTCACTCACACACACACTATCACACACACTCTCACACACTCACTCACTCTCACACACACTCTCACACACTCTCACACTCTCTCACACACACTCTCTCACTCACACTCTCTCACACACTCTCACTCACTCACACTCTCTCACTATCACACACTCACTCACACACTCTCACACACTCTCACTCACTCACACTCTCTCACTATCACACACTCACTCACACACTCTCACACACACTCACACACACACACTCACACACTCACTCACTCACACACACACACACTCACTCTCACTATCTCTCACTCTCTCACTCACACACACTCACACACTATCACTCACTCTCACACACACTATCACACTCTCACTATCTCTCTCACACTCTCTCACTCACTCACTCGTCTGAGGTGCAGCTCTCTCAGCTTCTTGAGTCTCTCTCTCTCACTCTCACACACTCACACACACTCTCACACACACTCACACACACACTCTCACACACACTCTCACACACTCTCACACACACTCTCACACTCTCTCACTCTCACTCACTCACACACACTCTCTCACTCACACTCTCTCACTCTCTCACTCACACTCTCTCACACACACACTCTCACTCACCTACTCACTCACAGACACTCTCTCACTCACCCGTCTGAGGTGCAGCTCTCTCAGCTTCTTGAGTCTCTCTCTCACTCACACACTCTCACACACACTCACTCACTCACTCTCACACTCTCTTACTCTCTCTTACTCTCTCTCACACTCACTCTCACACTATCACTCACTATCACACACACACTCACTCTCTCACTCACTCACTCACACACACTCACTCACTCTCACTAACTCTCACACACACTCTCTCACTCACACTCTCTCACTCACTCACTCTCACACTCTCTTAATCTCTCTTACTCTCTCTCACACACACTCTCACACACACTCACACACTCACACACACACTCACACACTCACACACACTCACTCACTCTCACACACTCACTCACTCACACACACTCTCACACACACTCTCACACACACTCTCACACTCTCACACATACACACTCACTCACTCACACACTCACTCTCACACACTCACACTCTCACTCACTCACACACACACACTCACACTCTCACTCTCTCACTCTCACTCACTCACACACTCACACACACACACTCACTCACACACCCACCCACCCACTCACCCACTCACCCACCCACTCACCCACCCACTCACCCACTCACTCACACACTCACACACACTCTCACTCACTATCTCTCTCACACACTCTCTCTCTCTCTCACTCTCTCACTCACCCGTCTGAGGTGCAGCTCTCTCAGCTTCTTGAGTCTCTCTCTCTCACTCACACACTCACTCACTCACACTCACACTCTCTCACACTCTCACACATACACACTCACTCTCACACACTCACACACACACAATCTCTCACTATCACTCACTCACTCTCTCACTCACTCACTCACACACACTCACTCACTCTCACTAACTCTCACACACTCACACTCTCTCACTCACACTCTCTCACTCACTAACTCTCACACACTATCACACTCTCTCACTCACACTCTCTCACTCACTCACTCTCACTCACACACTCTCACACACTCACTCAAACTCACACACACACTCACTCTCAGACTCACACACTCACACACACTCACTCACTCACTCTCTCACTCACTCACTCACACACACACACTCACACACACACACTCACTCTCACTCACTCACACTCTCTCTCTCACTATCACACACTCACACACACACACACACTCTCACACTCACTCTCACTCACTCACACACTCACACACACTATCACACACTCACACACACTATCACTCACTATCTCTCTCACTCACTCACACTCTCTCACTCACCCGTCTGAGGTGCAGCTCTCTCAGCTTCTTGAGTCTCTCTCTCACTCTCACACACTCACTCACACACTCTCTCACACTCTCTCACATACACACTCACTCTCACACTCACTCACACACTCTCACACTCACTCACACACTCTCTCACACTCTCACTCTCTCTCTCACTCACCCGTCTGAGGTGCAGCTCTCTCAGCTTCTTGAGTCTCTCTCTCTCACTCACTCTCACACTCACTCACACTCTCTCACACTCTCACACATACACACTCACTCTCACACTCACTCACTCACACACACACTCTCACACACTCACACACACTCACTCACTCTCTCTCACACACACACTCAATCACTCACCCACTAACTCACTCACTCACCCACTCACTCACTCACCTACTCACTCACTCACTCACCTACTCACTCACTCACTCACCTACTCACTCACACACTCACCCACTCACTCACTCACTCACCTACTCACTCACTCACTCACCTACTCACTCACAGACACTCTCACACTCACTCACTCACCCACTCACTCACTCACCTACTCACTCACTCACTCACCTACTCACTCACTCACTCACCCACTCACTCACACACTCACCCACTCACTCACTCACCTACTCACTCACTCACTCACCTACTCACTCACACACTCACCCACTCACTCACTCACCTACTCACTCACTCACTCACCTACTCACTCACAGACACTCTCACACTCACTCACTCACCCACTCACTCACTCACCTACTCACTCACTCACTCACCTACTCACTCACTCACTCACCCACTCACTCACACACTCACCCACTCACTCACTCACCTACTCACTCACTCACTCACCTACTCACTCACACACTCACCCACTCACTCACTCACCTACTCACTCACTCACTCACCTACTCACTCACAGACACTCTCACACTCACTCACTCACCCACTCACTCACTCACCTACTCACTCACTCACTCACCTACTCACTCACTCACTCACCTACTCACTCACACACTCACCCACTCACTCACTCACCTACTCACTCACTCACTCACCTACTCACTCACCCACTCACTCACTCACCTACTCACTCACTCACTCACCTACTCACTCACAGACACTCTCACACTCACTCACTCACCCACTCACTCACTCACCTACTCACTCACTCACTCACCTACTCACTCACTCACTCACCCACTCACTCACACACTCACCCACTCACTCACTCACCTACTCACTCACTCACTCACCTACTCACTCACACACTCACCCACTCACTCACTCACCTACTCACTCACTCACTCACCTACTCACTCACAGACACTCTCACACTCACTCACTCACCCGTCTGAGGTGCAGCTCTCTCAGCTTCTTGAGTCTCTCCGACCTCTTATCACAGGCGTCTCCAGAGACACACGGAGCCTGTTGGAGACACGTGGGGCGAGACACAGAGAGACACAGTGAGACACACAGTGAGACACAGTGAGAGACACAGTGAGAGACACACAGTGAGACACACACAGTGGGACACAGAGAGACACACAGTGAGACACACAGTGAGACACACAGTGAGACACACAGTGAGACACACAGTGAGAGACACAGAGACACACAGAGAGACACAGTGAGACACACAGTGAGAGACACAGTGAGAGACAGAGACACACACAGAGAGACACACGGAGCCTGGCAGACACACACAGAGAGACACACAGTGAGAGAGACACAGTGAGAGACACAGAGACACACACAGAGAGACACACGGAGCCTGTTGGAGACACACAGAGAGACACACAGTGAGAGAGACACAGTGAGAGACACAGAGACACACACAGTGAGAGACACACAGTGAGACACACACAGAGACACAGAGACACACACAGAGAGACACACAGTGAGACACAGAGAGACACAGAGAGACACACAGTGAGAGACACACAGTGAGAGAGACACAGTGAGACACACAGTGAGACACACAGTGAGAGACACAGAGACACACACAGAGAGACACACAGTGAGAGAGACACAGTGAGACACACAGTGAGACACACAGTGAGAGAGACACAGTGAGACACACAGTGAGAGACACACAGTGAGACACACAGTGAGACACACAGTGAGAGAGACACAGTGAGACACACAGTGAGACACACAGTGAGAGACACACAGTGAGACACACAGAGACACACACAGTGAGAGAGACACAGTGAGACACACAGTGAGAGACACAGAGACACACACAGAGAGACACACGGAGCCTGGCGGACACATACAGAGAGACACACAGTGAGAGAGACACAGTGAGAGACACAGTGAGAGACACAGAGACACACAGTGAGACACACAGTGAGAGAGACACAGTGAGACACACAGAGACACACACAGTGAGAGAGACACAGTGAGACACACAGTGAGAGACACAGAGACACACACAGAGAGAGAGACACAGTGAGACACACAGTGAGAGACACACAGTGAGAGAGACACAGTGAGAGACACAGAGACACACACAGTGAGAGAGACACAGTGAGACACACAGAGACACACACAGTGAGACACACACAGTGAGACACACACAGAGACACAGAGACACACACAGAGAGACACACAGTGAGACACACAGTGAGACACACAGTGAGACACACAGTGAGACACACAGTGAGAGAGACACAGAGACACACAGTGAGAGACACAGAGACACACAGTGAGACACACAGAGAGACACAGAGAGACACACAGTGAGAGAGACACAAAGAGACACACACAGTGAGACACACAGAGACACACAGAGACACACAGAGACACACAGTGAGACACACACAGAGACACAGAGACACACACAGAGAGACACACAGTGAGACACAGAGAGACACAGAGAGACACACAGTGAGAGACACACAGTGAGAGAGACACAGTGAGACACACAGTGAGACACACAGTGAGAGACACAGTGAGAGACACAGAGACACACACAGAGAGACACACAGTGAGAGAGACACAGTGAGACACACAGTGAGACACACAGTGAGAGAGACACAGTGAGACACACAGTGAGAGACACACAGTGAGACACACAGTGAGACACACAGTGAGAGAGACACAGTGAGAGACACAGAGACACACACAGTGAGAGAGACACAGTGAGACACACAGAGACACACACAGTGAGACACACACAGTGAGACACACACAGAGACACAGAGACACACAGTGAGACACACACAGTGAGACACACACAGAGACACACACAGAGACACACACAGAGAGACACAGAGAGAGACACAGAGTGAGACACAGTGAGAGACACAGAGACACACACAGTGAGACACACACAGTGAGACACACACAGAGACACAGAGACACACACAGAGAGACACACGGAGCCTGGCGGAGACACGGGGCGAGACACAGAGACACACAGTGAGACACACAGTGAGAGACACACAGTGAGAGACACACAGTGAGAGAGACACAGAGAGACACAGAGACACACACAGAGAGACACACACAGTGACACACACAGAGAGACACACAGTGAGAGAGACACAGTGAGACACACAGTGAGAGACACAGAGACACACACAGAGAGACACACGGAGCCTGGCAGACACACGGGGCGAGACACAGAGACACACAGAGACACACAGTGAGACACACAGTGAGACACACAGTGAGACACAGAGAGACAGAGAGACACACGGAGCCTGGCAGACACACGGGGCGAGACACACAGAGACACACACAGAGACACACAGAGAGAGACACAGAGACACACACAGTGAGACACACAGTGAGACACACAGTGAGACACACAGTGAGACACAGAGAGACAGAGAGACACACGGAGCCTGGCAGACACACGGGGCGAGACACACAGAGACACACACAGAGACACACAGAGAGAGACACAGAGACACACACAGTGAGACACACAGTGAGACACACAGTGAGACACACAGTGAGACACACAGTGAGACACAGAGAGACAGAGAGACACACGGAGCCTGGCAGACACACGGGGCGAGACACACAGAGACACACACAGAGACACACAGAGAGAGACACAGAGACACACACAGTGAGACACACAGTGAGACACACAGTGAGACACAGAGAGACAGAGAGACACACGGAGCCTGGCAGACACACGGGGCGAGACACACAGAGACACACACAGAGACACACAGAGAGAGACACAGAGACACACACAGTGAGACACACAGTGAGACACAGAGACACACAGTGAGACACAGTGAGACACACAGTGAGACACACAGTGAGACACACAGTGAGACACACAGTGAGACAGAGAGACACACAGTGAGAGAGACACAGAAACACACAGTGAGAGACACACAGTGAGACACACAGAGACACACAGTGAGACACACAGAGACACACAGTGAGAGACACACAGTGAGACACACAGAGACACACAGTGAGACACACAGAGACACACAGAGAGACACAGTGAGACAGAGAGACACAGAGACACAGTGAGAGACACAGTGCCACAGATATACAGTGAGAGACACAGTGAGAGACAGAGAGACACAGATACACAGTGAGAGACACAGTGAGACAGAGAGACACAGTGACACAGAGAGACACGGTGAGACAGAGAGACACAGTGAGACAGAGAGACACAGAGACACAGTGAGAGACACAGTGCCACAGATACACAGAGAGAGACACAGTGAGACACAGAGAGACACAGAGACACAGTGAGAGACACAGTGAGAGACACAGTGACACAGAGAGAGACACGGGGAGAGACAGTGCCACAGATACACACAGAGAGACACAGTGAGACAGAGACACAGTGAGACACACCGTGCCACAGATACACACAGAGAGACACAGTGAGACAGAGACACAGTGAGAGACACCGTGCCACAGATACACACAGAGAGACACAGTGAGACAGAGACACAGTGAGAGACACCGTGCCACAGATACACACAGAGAGACACAGGGAGAGACACAGTGAGAGACACCGTGCCACAGACATACACACAGTGAGACAGAGAGACACGGTGACACAGAGAGAGACACAGTGAGACAGAGAGAGACACAGTGACACAGAGAGAGAGACACAGTGAGACAGAGAGAGACACAGTGAGACAGAGAGACACGGTGACACAGAGAGACACGGTGACACAGAGAGACACGGTGAGACAGAGAGACACAGAGAGACAGAGAGACACGGTGAGACACACAGAGAGACACGGTGAGACAGAGAGACACGGTGACACAGAGAGAGACACGGTGAGACACACAGAGAGACACGGTGACACAGAGAGACACAGAGAGACAGAGAGACACGGTGACACAGAGAGACACGGTGACACAGTGAGACACGGTGACACAGTGAGACAGAGAGACACAGTGACACAGAGAGACACAGTGAGACAGAGAGACACAGTGAGACAGAGACACAGTGAGACAGAGAGACACAGTGAGACAGAGAGACACAGTGAGACAGAGAGACACAGTGAGACAGAGACACAGTGAGACAGAGAGACACAGTGAGACAGAGAGACACAGTGAGACAGAGACACGGTGAGACAGAGAGAGACACAGTGAGACAGAGAGACACAGTGAGACAGAGAGACACGGTGAGACAGAGACACGGTGAGACACAGGGAGAGACACTGCCACAGATACACACACAGAGAGAGACACAGATACAGAGAGACACACAGAGAGACACAGTGAGACAGAGACACAGTGAGAGACACAGTGCCACAGATACACAGAGAGAGACACGGTGAGACAGAGAGAGACAGTGCCACAGATACACAGAGAGAGAGAGACACAGTGAGACAGAGACACAGTGAGAGACACAGTGCCACAGATACACAGAGAGAGACACAGTGAGACACAGAGAGACACAGTGAGACAGAGAGACACGGTGAGACACAGTGAGAGACACGGTGACACAGAGAGACACGGTGAGACACAGGGAGAGACACAGTGCCACAGACACACACACACACAGAGAGAGACACAGAGACACAGAGAGACACGGTGAGACAGAGAGACACGGTGACACAGTGAGAGACACAGTGACACAGATACACACAGAGAGACACAGTGAGACAGAGAGACACAGAGAGACACAGTGCCACAGATACACACAGAGAGACACAGTGAGACAGAGACACAGAGAGACACAGAGAGACACAGTGCCACAGATACACACAGAGAGACACAGTGAGACAGAGAGACACAGTGAGACACAGGGAGAGACACAGGGAGACACACAGTGAGAGACACAGTGACACAGAGAGAGACACGGGGAGAGACAGTGCCACAGATACACACAGAGAGACACAGTGAGACAGAGAGAGACACAGAGACACAGAGAGACACGGTGAGACAGAGAGAGACACGGTGACACAGAGAGACACGGTGAGACA